AACATGCATGTTTTACTTTTCTAGGGATAGCCTGATCATGTGAATACAAGTTTCAAATTTTTTGTATGAAATTTTGAACTTGGGCTTTAAAGTCTTTATAGTTCTCTCATTAAGGTTGTTTTTTTGGGGTAAAATCCATTAGCATTGGAACTTCAATTTTCAATTCAACTGTTTAGTGCTCGCTTGCTTTTCAGAAAACTCAAGATCTCCTTTGTGTGCATGGTCATGCTTTACTCAGTTTTCACCATAAATCTCATTAATTTACACATATTTTAGTGAAATCTTCATAGTTTGGAAGCAAGAAAACGAGGCTTGTACAAGGGTCCGACCGGTCAGTAGGTTTTGGGCGACTGTAGCCGCTCACTGAGACTGCAGGATTCGGAGTCGAAGCAGAGCGACCGGTCAGAATGTGTCGCACAGCAAGTGACCAGTCAGTCTAGCTAGCCGGCCAGTTGGCTCTCAGGTTTCCTGTTTTAACTCGGGTTGTCTTTTACATATTTTTTTAGGGTTTTAGTTTCCTACTTCGGGTCTAATTGTAAGCTGAGCCCTATGTGATACAAATAAAACTTTAGGGGGTTGGGAAACATAATGAGAGATACAAGAGAGGCACCAAAGGATTTGAGCAAGGGTGAGAGAGAAATTAAGACCTAGGGTTAATGAAGGGCTAAGGGGGTTCTTCTTGTAAGCAAAGTTGCTCCTTTCTTGACTAGTGAAATTTCTCGGGGTGATTACCGAGGACATAGGCAGAAATCGCCAAACCTCGTTTCTCAGGGTACAATTTCTAGTGGAATTTTTTTTTCGTTGTGTGTTTTTTATCCTTTTTTTTACTGGTTCTGTGTGTGCTTATCATAGTTCATTGATAACAAGATCTTGGCACGTTTGTACAAGAATTCCCACACTTATACCTTTCTTCACTTGGTTGTGTGCCCCTGCAATATGAACCCTTGCCTTGGCAAGGGCACGGCAGTCATCATGCCTTGGCATGGGCACTGCAGCCATCTTGCCTTGGCCTTGGCACCAACTCCAGGGTTGTAACACTTATCAACTACACTTGGACTTTCGATTTTTGCATTTTGAATAAAGTTTGTGTTTATTATCAGGAAAAGAAAGTGCCTATCCATGATGACATGTGGAGCAAATATAACCAAACACACAAAACAAAGAGATGCATGGTTCACATCCCTTTAAGGATATGAAAAGAACTGACAAACAGATTACTATAGTGTTTCTTGAACCTAATTAGATCAAACTCACAGGAAGCTCAAAAATTCATTCATGACCATGAAGCTTAATGCCATATGATGAAGTATCTAACTATTAACTAAAAGGAAGAAAAATCATTGACAGAATACAAGGAGTGGAATGAGTAATGTGAATTAACAAGGGGTTCACATCCACTGTCAACATTAGATCTGCCGTACAACAATGGGATTGTAGTCATTTCTCTCAACTTAACCCCCTAAAACAGAGAAATCGAACGTTTCCAAATTGCAATATCCCTGCATAATGCAGGCATCAAAAAACTAGCGCAGAACTTCCAAATCATACTAACATAAACTATAGTTGGCTATTCCAACAAACAATGTACTATTTCGACCAAAAAAAAAACAAACAATGTACTTACCCTTTCAATTTCATAGATTATAATAGACTAGAAAAGAGAAAAACTATTTAAAAAAACGAAGAGGAAATGCACAAAGATGGTTTCTAATACTTCACTCATGGTAAGAGTTGCCTACACCGAATATTTACTCAAAGGCCAATTTCCCATAACCCCTTCCAGTTAAAGAGACAACACAAAATATAAAGAATTCAACCTTCTTCTTGTTGTTTTCTCATATGGAGGGAATAGTAAAATGAAAATCTTAATAGTATGAACATGGTAGCTTTGCCTCTAATAAGGGCTGTCTAACAATTGTATGGGTTCTAGTCTCAGAAGATTGAAACTCACTTTCATAATTGTTATCATCATGGTCATAACAATTAAGACAACCTCAAGCAGAATAGCCACATAGTTACAATTTTGATAGGACCGATAAATTCAAATTCATAAAATTTTGTCAGTCCACATATTTTTTAAGCCGGAAGTCAGAAAATCATGTTATGCAACTAATCTACTTGTATAAACAAATGAAATTACCGATCCTTTTTAAGTTATCTAAAAGCAACAGGATAACGCTGGAAACCATTTGAATCATAAAGCCTAAAGAAACTTCATTTGAGAATGATATAAAACCATAGAGTTCTCAATTGAACAAAGCTCGGTGTGATTACAGATTCCACAAATCCCATCAAATAATGCAATTACTTTTCGTTTTGATCTTCATAATTGATTATTAGCAACATAGGAGGAAGTAATTAAATTAATCAACTTTCGCACCTCAAATCTTTATAATACCAAGTTGAACACAGCAATCAGTAAACCGGAAAAATAAACCCTTCCACAGAAACTCAAATCCAAAGAAAGAAAAATGAAAAAGAGCAAGACGGGTTACCTCCGGAGCCAAGTGAGGAAGGAATCCAACAAACCCATTGTCAAGGAAATGAGTTTGGGTCTCAGTGTGAGTGGTTCTGAGATGATAATGAATCGAAAGCCTGAGAATTTCTTCAAAGAAACCAACGGAAAACTGAGGAAAAGAAGCAAAAACAAAATAACGAAACTTCACGGACTGGTGATGCTTTTATCAACGTCTGTGGGTTTTTTTGGCTTCCTCTGGTGATGACCGCTGTCTTTTTCTTTTTTTCCTTTTTAACTCCTTTTGTTTTTATTTTTCCTTTTCCTTTTTTTAAGGTATGGGTGAGCATGGGTTGGGTTGGGTCGGTTTTAGTCTTAATCTATAACCCAACCCGATATACAGTGCTTTATGATTTCTTCAACCTAAGACCTGCTCATTATTAGGCAAATCCAACCCAATTCAAACTTTTTTGTGATTGAGCTGGGCAGTTTAGTCGAATTAACTCAAAATTAAGCCTTCTTTAAAGTTTCAGTTCAAATTCGTTACTCAACCCGTTCAACCCAATCCACTATAATCAAGTTGAACGGTTCAATTGGGTTGACTCGAAATTGTGCCCACCTCTATTGAAACAGTAAGTTTTTTTTTTTTTTGTTTTTTGTACTTTTAAAAATATTTTAAAGGTTTATTACGAGTTGCTAGCCTATTTTCTGATTTCAAGTTTTTTGTCCCAAAATTTATGTTGTATTCTTCTTCAAATGTCTCAAGACAATTTAACAATGTCTCTTCTAAGCTTTCTATGTCGCGGTATACAATATATTGGCACTATTACGAATTGGCCAACATATTTTAAGCATTAGGTTCCCAACATTGATGAAAACAGAGGTAAATTCAAAATTGATTCTTCAAATTCGATCAATATCATTCCCATCATGTTGCTCTACACATCAATATCATCCCCGACGTCAATTCTATTCAACTTTTCGTTAAAACTAATGGCGTGTTTATTTACTTGGAATTGAGGAAGTCATGAATCATGGAATTTTACATTCAGAAAAAGAATGAATGGGTATGTGATGAACTATTTCCCCCTAATCAATCTAATTCCTTATTTTTTAGAAATCAATTTACGAATTTTAATGTGTAACTCACATAATTCTTTATTCCGTATGTGTTAGTAAGCATAAGGGAAGTCGAGAGTTAGAATAATTTCAACACTCATGTGTTCGTAAACATAGGAAAATTCATAAATTAGAATAATTCCAATACCAATTCTATAGAAGTAAACATGCCATAAGAATGATTTTAACTAAAAATTGGATGCAGTTGTCATCGAGGATGACATTGAAGCGCAGAGCTATTGGATGGGGACACCATTAATCAAATTTGAAGAATGGAGACTAAAATTATGAGGGTTTAGGGTTTGATGGACATTGAATTATGTGAGATTATAAATAGGATATTGTTATGTGTCTAGTGAAAGGATGAAAAATATCAAAATGTAAAATATCAAAATGTACGTGACCAGTTTTTTTATTTTATTTATTTATTTTATAAATACAAGTAATAGTCTAAACTACAAGAGGGAGGAGGTTTCTCACACACACTACCAATGTATCATGGGAGTTCGAATATGAGACCACTAGTCTACAACTCAAAACCTCTTTTTAACTGAGTTAGACCCTGTTGGCGTACATGACGAGTTTAAGATAAGGAATATGAGACGGATCTCTTTTTGTCCAACAAGGCTTGTTATACGAATCACCTTTTTTTTTTTTGGGTGAAAATTATACGAATCACCTTTGAGTTCAAGCCAAGTTAGCTTGAGTAGCCCCCAAGGCAAGGCATGGGAGAGGAGCCTTAGTTCGAATCTCCTAAAGACTTACCTATTTCAGACCAAATCCACTTGGATTTGGAGAAGGATTTATGAGCCACTGCGGCTAAGAAGGTCTCTATGCCTTTTACGATCGGCAACCGTTGTCTCAAGACAGCCATATAAACAATAACTATATAATTTCTTAATAATCTTCTGTGATGGTTTTATGTTAGCTTTGTGGTTATGTCGTATAATTTTGGAGTTTTTTGTGTTCCACAGCTGTCCCCCAAGGTCAGTGACCATAGAAGAAGAGGTTCCATAACTGTCATGAGAGCCCTAGGCTTTTTGTTTCTTATTTTTCAGCAAATTTATACCCAAAAATAAGAAGCTAAATTGTATTCAAAATTTATTTACGAAAATAAAAAATAAGACTGGTGGATAGGAATAAGGTCACTCTTTACTTACATTGATGTTGAAGTTTAAAATGGCCTATATTATTACATTCATTGGAAGTGTAATGAATGATACCAAGCTAAAGCAACCATGGGAGCCCAGAGAATCAATTGACCCAAGTACACAATAAAACTACATGATAAGATTATTCTCCAAGTAGAGAGATATGCTTGACTTGGCTGAAACAAAAGAACAAATAAATGGCAAATACTCAACTCAAAATGCAGAAAGTAACTCAAGCATTTCAAATCATACAGAAAAGTTGCACCCAGTTCAAAGCTATGAGGGACAGAGGATGAGAGTGAGCATCTCACCAAGGGCAAACTCAGAATTCGCAATTCGGGCAACCATGTTATAAATAATAATACAGATATCCCCCTCCACATACAGCATAAACAGTAATACAGGGGCTAATTAAAGAAGATTGCTATTAAGAAAATAGGTATGAACATGAAAACCAAAAGAGAAAAATACATGATCCTGCCGGTAATTTTTCTTTCACGAGAAACTCAAGAATAAACAAATAATGAAAGCACTAAATTATCCCTGACCAGAAGGGCAATGCAGGAAGAATGTTGATCTTTGTTCAATCCTTATGGACGTATATGAGAGTCAGCTGAGAAATACTGCTGAGAAAGCCCATCATCCACATCACGAGATATATCAGGATTTGCATCTTGTCCATGCTTTAAGCTGGCACTATAAAGCTCCTCAATTCGGCTAGTTACCTCGCCCATTAAAGGGCGATTCTCAGGGTACTGAACGGTACATTCAAGTGCAATCTGTAAAAGTTGAACCATATCCTCCTCAACATTCTGGTACCTGAGAAGCTCGAGGTCAAACACCTCAACAGTCCACTCCTCTTGGACGACAGAGTGAACCCATCTTGGAAGGTCTACTCCTTCCTCATTCATGATAGCTTGGGTTGGAGCCTTTCCTGTAAGCAGCTCCAAAAGCAATACACCAAAGCTGTAAACATCTGCTTTTTGGGTTACTTTGCTAGCATCGGTGAGTTCTGGAGCACGATAACCAGAAATGCGGTTGGGAGTAGAGGTTGGGCTTGCAAGATGAGCAAGGCAAAAATCAGAGACACATGCTTCAAAGGATCTAGTGAGAAGAATGTTTGAAGATTTAATGTTTCCATGTGAGATCGTAGGACCATGAGAATGTAGGTATGTAATTGCACGAGCAGCTCCAACAGCAATGCCAGACCTTGTTTCCCAATTCAATGGAGTCCTTCCAGCGCCTCTGTTTCCTGTAGGGGAAAAGTAAAGAAATGAAATGATAAACAAGAAAACAATTTTCAGCATCATTGCTTTTGTCCCTCTTTCAATGAGTCTCGGAGTTTACATTATTGAAGAACAATGCAACTCTTCGTGGCCTTTTCAGTGCTAAATTTTTTTATTATTATCAAAATCTGTAAATTACTGAGCAGATATATTGGTGTTCTGTAACAGCATAGATATCATGCAAAATTAAAAAAAAAGGAAAAATAAGAAGAATATATTGTTTGCATGAGAAACAAAATCCAATTATTTATGTAGAAATCCACCCTTTGTTGACTGTCAAAAGCTTCATGATTTCCACAAATTCAAATATTATACTAAACATTGGAGTTAAGAGAACCAAGATGTCATCAACAGAATAACAATAATAATAATAATATACAACAGTAACAATAGTAGTAGCAATAGTAATGATAATAAGTTAATAACAAAAGGTGCCAAAAAACAGAACTGAACTGATATATCAGTTGTTTCTTACCAGAAACATAATCCAAGAACCCCAAGAGCTACATTCAGTCACATATAGAAAGAAAATTCTTTCCAAACAATTTTTTCATGCAGCAACAATTGTCCATGAGACAAAGTGGAGAATGGGCACCACTAGACCAAAATGAAATTTCTTGCTTTCAGGAAAAGGCAACAGAAGACAAAACAAAAATATATTTCTAATCATTGATAAATTCAACGTGGTTCAACAGAAAGAAAGAACACTTCATCAAAACTTATTAAATTAAAAGAAAAACATGCAAAATTCTTCTACACAAAAACTCAGCAGCTAACAGCATGCCTTGCATCTGTTTTATGAAAGTGCTGCTGGGATTTGGGACAAAGAGCAACTCTCCACGGCAATATTGGGCATGAAACCAGGGACCAGAACACATTGTTTCTTACCCCTATGTAGCTTATCAACTTGCTTAGAAACTCAATATTATGCTTCTTTGTTGTAATAAAATGGCTAAGACAGGTTGAAAACCCTAGTTGTCTATTACTTCAGTCCATTCTGTTATTTCACTATATGGAACGATTTGCTTTCACCCAAACAGGATCATGATCAGAGTTTCCAGGTAACTAGAAATTATTTTACAGTCTACTGGGCTTCTGAGGATTCCTCTCTGTTTGGTGTAAATGTATGGCAAGCCTAAATTAGTAAAAGGGTAATTGCAGACACGCACGTCAAAAATTGGGCAACAAAAATACAAAAGTTGATTTATGGAATACCTAAAGTAGCAATTCAATGGAGATATACAATCAGAACAAAGTTGGATGAAATGAAACACTAAAATGATGATAACAATAAATCATAATGCATCAAATGGAACCCGAGAAAGAAATGCTCACCATGCAAAAGAGCAGATAAGCTTCCCATAGGCATGTAATCATACACAAGAAGCTTCTCATCCCTGCTGTAATAGTAAGCCCTCAGTGGGACCAAATTCACATGATCCATTCCCCCAATTTCTTCAATCTTTTCCCTAAATACATTCTCCGGTACAGTCACCTCCTTCAACCTCTTCACTGCCATGGACACCCCCAACTCCAAAGCCGCCTTATAGGTAGTCCCGAAAGTCCCCTTCCCAAGCACCTCGGCCGATGCCCTCAACAAATCCTCCAAATCAAACACCTTCACTGCATCCCCGAAAAACACCAAACTCTTACTCCCACCACCACTCTTCACATTCCCTTTGGACGCAGCCGAGAAATCAGTACTCAAACTCTCACTATCCACCCCTGTCTTTCCACTGGCGGTTTCAACTTCCCGAACCTTCGCTGGAGCAACATACTCTGTACCCTCTTCACCATTTTTATTTCTCTTACACAAAAAGATCACAATGGCAATAATAACGAAGAGACCAAAAATACAACCAATCACAATCCCTGCAATTGCTCCACCAGACAACTTGTGCTTCTTCCCAGTATTCTCTGTCCCATTACAGGCCTTCAATGGCTTCCCACAAAGCGAATTTCCCACGAAACCGCTTCCGGGCAAATCCAAAAACTTTGAAGGGATCGACCCGTTTAACTGGTTAAACGAAACATTGAATTGTCCAAGGGCCAAACCCAGTTCAGGAATTGACCCAGTAAGCTGATTCTCTTCCAAATGCAGAGTTACCAAACTCGTCAACTTATTAAACCCCGACGAAATTTCCCCAGAGAAATTATTTTTAGCAAGGTTCAATCTCATAAGGCTTTGCATATTGAACAAAAATTCTGGAATCGGACCCGAGAATGAGTTACCTTGCAAGTAGAGATTTTTGAGGTTGACGAGGTTGACGAGATCATTTGGGACTTGGCCTGAAAGCGCGTTTAGGCGTAGAGAGAGGGTCGAAAGTTGGGTCAGGTTGCCGAGACCCGGAGGGAGTCGCCCAACGAGTGCCCGACCCGGAAGCCTCAACTCAGTGACTCGGCCTGACTCACATGTAACGCCACGCCATGATGAACATGGGTTGGTCTCCGTTACGTTCCACTCCATTGTACGGCCTTTAACGGCTGTTCTGAGAGCCAACAAGGCCTCTCTATCTGCAGCCAGATCAGAACTCTCAATCAGGCAAAGGCCAAGACTATATATCAGCAACAAAGTGGTGAAAACCATGTTGCGCTGCTTTGGGGACTTCATTTTTCAACTCCAATGGTGAAAAACAGAGCTGGGTTTTGTTCTTTGGGGATGGCTACGAAATGGGTTTCATCCCTTTTTGAGTTCGAATTCGAATTTGGTTGGATGGAGAGAAAGTGAGAGAAAATGAGGGAAAGTGAGAGAAAAGTTAATATGGGAAGGGGGGGAGGTTGAGAACTTGAGAGGACTGAAGTAGTTGCGTTTGTATTAAAAGCACCGGAAATCCAGAAATGGCGTTTAAAAGGCCATTGGCTGAGTTGTCATATAAAGAGGGGGTGATACAGTACAGGCAGGTGTAAATGAGAATAATGCAGCCACTTGACTTTCTCAACATAGAAAAATGTGGTTGAAGTTTTGAGTTTTTTTTTGACTTTGAGGAGACTAGGGGGCAATCAAAGGAAGCTTCAAAAATGGGGACCATGAACCTTAGATCAGTCCAAAGGGATTTTGAACCTTTCTTGGAGCTCCAAGGCGGACGCGATTATGATCTTACCTTTCTCAATAAGAAATTAGTACGGGCAATTAGGGATTGCATTAAGATATTTTTCTAGTAGGTTCTTATTAATTGCTTGGCCATCTATAGTAAAATAATAATAATAATAAAAATTAATTGTGTTTTGTTTTTAAATAAAACGGTGATTTATTGTAAATGGAATTTGGGTAATGAAATCTTATTGATTACAAAATCCTAATCAAATCTTCAATTATCATAAACTTTTATAATTAATGATTAGGTGTAATATATGCACACGAACAACCAAAAAAGGCCAAACCAAGATATGCCTTTTACCAAAAGCTGTAGTCGTTTGAGGACAATGAATTCATTCTTAAATTTACATCAGCTTTTCATATGTCTTTAAATATGTACTCTACTCGTCGTCCTTTAGCTTCAATCTTAGGCTCAAAGATTACTTGGTTGTAGTTTATACCCAATTGTATCAACGATAAATCCTCTCTTGTATTAACTTGTGATTGTCAAACAAAAGGAAAAAATAATAAAAATTTGTTTGAATGAAAGCTATCTTTTGGAGAAAATGATATGAATGTTAATAAGAAATGAGTCCGTATTATTCTTCATCAAAAAAAAAATGAGTCCGTATTATTTTGATTGATTGAAAGCTAGCTTCAATCTTTAAGGTGTGAATGTTACAAAGTCGTCTCTTCTATTTGCATGGCTAGTTTGGCCGGAACACCTAATAAAAATAGTAATTACAGGTAGGAAATTCATACCTTTTCTTCCAAGTTCTGAAAAATTTATAATAAATTATATTTTAAAAAAGGGTTAATTACATAAAACTACCCAACTTTTGGGAATTGTTTCAACTAGTACTCAACCTTGAAAATCTTGCACGTAGATATCCAACCTCAACATATTGACTATTAGTTCAATTAATGGATCCCCACCCCCTTCCCCCAAAACATTTCTAATTGGTTTTGGGGTGAAAACCTCAACTTCCTTCGAGAGTCCAACTCATATAAAAACTGAAGACTAAACTTTCTAATATGGGATTCATTTGGGTTATGTTTTGCTTTGATTTCTTCTTCTTTTAAAATAATAATAATAATAATCAAGTGAAGTGACAGAGACATTCATATAGTAAATATACTATGGTGTGCCAAACATTAATTGCTTGAAAGAACCCTACCATGAGATCTCTTCCCAGTCGCACAAGCACAATTTGGGCGCTGAGGGGGAGGTCACTGCCCCTTCTCCCCACTCCTCCTTCCTTCACATTTTGTGAGGTGTCTCAAGTCTCTCTCATAGCAAAGGCATATATGTCTTTTGTTAAATTTCATAAAGATAAACCAACAGCTCACTATTAACGACACCGATATTATCTCTAACTTAATCACCTACACAGTCAAGTAGGCAGGGGTGGCCGCACAAAGGGACAAATGGGGTCAGACGACCCCATGGAAGTCGAAAAAAAATCGCTATGGAGGTCTGAGGCGACCCCATGGATTGCTGGTTTGCGACCCTATGGCGTCCACCACATGTTCGACGAAATGCCGCAGAAGCCTTGCGCAGCACCTCCACACCGCAGCAGCACCTCCTTGTGTAAGTTACTCCCTTTGTTCTTGGCTACTTCTGCTTGAAGAGCTTCTGGTAGCTGCATCAGGTGGAAAACCAACCACTAGCGAAGAAGATGATATCTTGAATACGCAGTGTTTTGGCTTTGGACTACCTTTAGTGAAACTATGCGTTTAGTTTCACTAATGGCTGTTACTTTTTTTCATTTTTTTCATTTTTATTTATTTATATAACACACTCTTATTTATTTATCAAGGTTTGGTTTCAAGATGGACCGACTATTTTTGGTTTCAAGTGAAATAATAAAAACACTTTTAACCCATGTTCAAATGTAATGTAACATAAGACTATCCTTTTTAACTAAGAACAACTAAAAAACCCTATTAGGATACATTAAATAAATTGTATACCTCTTATTCTTGTTGTTAAATTAAAATCTCAATGTCATCCTGTTTTGTTACTATTTGGCAACACGATTTTTCCATAAACTATAGCTCTTCTCCCTAAGGGAATGTTAAAGGAAATTACCCATCTTGTATGTAAACTTTCATAGCTCAAATTTATATACAACCTCCAAATATGGTCAAAAAAATTTTGAAAATTTTACACTCTGACCCCATGAGTCGACAATCCTGGATCCGCCACTGCAAGTAGGTGTTGAGTTTTATCACAAAAGACATTCGTGCTATTAGTAGTGGAACCACTTATTATATGTTGTTTTTTATTAGTCAAGTTTCCAATGTTGGACTTTTATATTCTTCCATGCACTCCCTTATGTGGAACCACCAGACCCATGGAGCTAAGTCCACATCGAAGTCAATCAATCAAGCCTAACACGTGAACACCAAGTATTGAGTAAAGGGTAAAGGTAAACAAGCAAGCTCAACATGTGAACACCACACATTGGGTAAAGGGTAAGGATAAATACCCAGTCAATAAGTCCGCTATGATACCATGTTATATTTCAAATAATTGAATCATTGGGCCACTACTATATTGTCCTCAAGTTAACCAACTACATAGCCCAATATGTGTTGGGTCTTATCACAAAATGTCTCAATTCTATTAATAGTTGAACCACTAATTAAATGTTGTAATTTATTTAGTCAAGTTTCTGATGTAAGACTTTTATATTCTTCAACACCTTTTTGTCTAGTTCGAAGGTCTCTACTTCCTGAGAACTAGTTGTTTGTCAAGCTCTTACTCGATTCTTAGGCTTCAAGCCTCATTGCAGCTTAGTTACCCCATATTTCCACCAACCCAGCCCTCCCAATGTTCCCTCTTCCCCCACAAACTCCATAGCCCTAACTAGTGGTGGGCTCGATTTGGGTTGGTTTGGTTTTGGGTATTTTGGAAACCATAACCAAACCATAATTGATGAAAACTGACCATTTTGATTAACCGAACTTGGTAGGTTGGTTTGATTCAGTTTGGGTTTTTTTGGCTTTCTTAGAGAGAGAGAGAGAGAGAGAGAGAGAGAGAGAGAGAGAGAGGAGAAGAAGAAGAAAAGAGGGAGAGATAGAGAAGAAGAAGAAGAATGTGAGAGTCCGTTTTTCTTAAATGATGATTAAACAAAAATAATTGTTATATATATGTATTATATGTTTACAAAAATTTAAATTCCTTTTATTCACATAGTTCTTGTACGTTCCTTGTATTCAAATGGTTTTAATGATTTCCTTTAGATTTTCTTTTAATTTTAGTAGTGGTGAATTTGTTCATGCATATAGCTATCTAAATGGTGTGGAGTTTTTTTTTACGTGGGCTTTTATCCTACGGGATTGATAATAACTGGAGTTACTTTTTTTTTTGGTTGGAGGTATTAAAAAATTAGTGTTTAAGCAAGTGAGAAGTCGTTATAGAGTTGGTGTTGGCAAAAGCTTTACATGCAAACAAGCATGGGGTGGCAGTTTTTCCCTTGCTTTGAGTTTGATGTGTAAGTCAGTTGTGCTAAAACTTTTCTATTGAAATTGATTACTCGACAAGTGTCATTCCATTAGATGACTAATTCTTTTTTTAATATGAGCTGGTGGTGTTGAGGAATTAATAATTACTAAAACTTGGAGCAAAGGTTATCAGTTGCAGTGCATCTTCCACCAATTAGAACCCATTGGCATGCCGCCTTAGTATTTACTATAAGAGCAATTCCAGCAGCAAGGTTGGGGCGCGGGCTGGGGGGGCGCGGGGGCGGAGTTGGGCCAAAAAAGCGATTCCAGCAACAGAGGCTGGCCCGGGCAACAAGTGGACCCCAGCAAACTGGGCTGGCCCGAGTTTTGGATGATGTCAATGCGCTACAGTGCCGCCCATAGCCAGCAGCCATGTGGCGTCATCTGGGCTCTCCAATTAGATTTTTTTTCCTCCAATCCAACAGCAGCGAATTTTTGTGCAGTAAAATAATGAAAAAATACCCAAAAATTAATGAATTTTTTTTCTATAAATACCAACCAGTACTCTTCACTTTTAACACCAAATCCTCATACATTTTTGTCTCCTTCAACTATTATTCACTTTCTATTTAATATTTTTTTCACTTTCAAGTTTTATTTTTCCGAAATCTTATCCGAATTTTTTTTCCGATTATGAGATATGAATTTTATAATAAAGATTAACACGTATGAACCCAAAAATCTAATCCGAAAATATTATCCAAATTAATTGTTTAGATAAACAAATTTGTGAAAAAAAAACAAAAAAATAAATAGTGTTTGCCCTTTGCCATGGCAACTGCTGGAAATACACATTGCTTTTTGCAAGGGCAGCCACTATTCACATGAATAGTAGCTGCCCTAGCCCCCCCCCTCTGGCAAGGGGCTAACTGCTGGAAGTGCTCTAAATAGGAGTCATTTTCTTTAATTTTGAAAACACAGGACATTGCATAGTAGTGCATGCAAAGAGAAGAGAAAAATAAAGAGAGAGAGAGAGAGAGAGAGAGAGAGAGAGAGAGAGAGAGAAAAGAAGAAAGAAAACAAGAGAAAGCAAGTGGTGATCAAATTCTCAGGAGGAGTTAGAGGTCGTAGCTTGTGTGTTTTCTTAACTTGGAGCTGGCTTGGGAAATGAGGTAGGGGTTTGTTGGGAGCCTTTACAGAAGATTGATCTAATTAAATTTTGTGAGCTTTATATTATGTGTGATATTATAATGGATGTTCTTGATATTGGATGATATTGGTTAATGTTGGCATGATTATATATATATATATTGGTGATG